CGCATAACTTTGCTACTTGTTCCTCTCAGTATCTGCACCCCTGACCAGCATGTCTGTATTGGAACACCTCATCCCAACCGCGCCTGGAGCCAGTCTACAAGCCCAACGAGGCTGCCAGCAGTGCTTCCCCAAGGCTAGAGGGCAGAGCACTGCACACCTCAGCCTCGTATTTTTTACCTCCCACGCCCCTCCTGGGTATATGACACGGTGAGGGCGTTTCCCTACACCAGGGACGCCGAAGAGCGGGCCCACTGCTGGCGAACCAGAGGCCCAACAAGGCCAGAGGGGCATTTCCAAACTGCAGTTTTTACCCGGCCAACCAGTGTTGAGCAGGCAGTCCCTCTATGGGAGGAATATTCAAAAATGCTTTAAAGCACATAGTTTTGGGACGATGTGTTGCGTATGTTTGATTGTTGTTTTTTTGCGTATGTGTTTATTTGTCGTCCAAAATCCGCCGGTAAGGGGGACGTGCCCGACCTAAAAGCAGTGCCGACCTGGCCAGCCAGCCAGTTTACTGATAGCACGCTCGCGGTACCTGCGCACCACAGTGCCGGCTATCCCCATTCAGCCGTCGCCACTTCTTTTTTGTTTGCTACAGTCAAGACGCTGAAATAAGGAACAGTTTGGGTTTGGAAGGGGCTCGATGTTCCTTAGGTTCCTCCAGTGCTGTTCCTCCTGCTCTCCTGGGGCACGGAGGCGCTCACAGGGCCAAGAAGGGGCTTCGTTCCTTATTCAGCGTTCCTTCTTTCAGCGGCCCGACTGTATTCGCCACGTCGACCATCCAGTGGAGGGGACGGGCACCTCGGGATGGACTGTGGTGATTGGGGAAACTGACGTTGGGCCATTCTGGCATTCGGCGGGGGGGTGTCCGCCCCACTGCGGGCAGCTGTACTTTGTCACCTCCCACTTCAGTGCTACAGCCTGCATTGCTCACGCACAGCACTCTCCCATCTCTGACGATTGGATCACAAGTGCCCGTAGTCGCATGAGATTCCTCTTGATGTTAAATACAGGCCAGCCTGCTACAGTGCCAGTCTAAAGGTCAACACGTTGACGTCATCAGCATGTATTGCGCCACAGTTTGGCTTCGCACTGATCGAGGGTGGGACTGTTAGATGTCTGATCGAGGGGTTTGGCTTGGGAGGTTTGAACCGTCACTGTTGCATTTCAGACCCCCCTTTGGTCAACAAGGCGCGCCCCCACCGCCCCGGACAGCTTTCGAACTTAGTTGTTCTGGTTTGTTCTGTGCGTTGCTTGTCTCTGTACGTGGTGATCGCATTGCACGTGTATTTCGACTTCGCCTCGTTCGTATCCTCCTTAGTTCGGAGGGAGAGGAGGGAGGAGGGAGGAGGGAGGTGATGTAGGTATTGGTTTGATGTCCTCCGCCACTCCACTGTGCGGCCTGGCGGGCGCATGCTCTCTGGCCTCACCGCCCATGTACCCGTCTCGCAGCTCTTGGCCTGTCCTTTTTGTTTGCTGCGCCCGCAAGGGCTAATTCGTTGGCTCTTTGTTTAAGTATGCGTTGACCTCCTGCTGCACACCCAGAACGCAACGATCCGCGATCCGTTAATGTGCAACGTGAAAAAAAGGGAGGAACATCAGGAGGAAGAAGAGGATGAGGAGGAGGAGGAGGGCGAGCACAAAAGCCAGAGGCCTCTTTGTATGCCTCTCGGAGTCTCTTCGGGTGTCTCTTGCAAGTTTCTTAGAGTCCTCTCTGGGCGTCTTTGGTGCCTGTTGGCGGTCCCAGGAGTCTCTGGAGCGCCCTGGGTGCTTCGGGGGAGCATCTTGAGTTCTCTGGGGGGGGGTTCTTGTGGGCCTATGGTGGGCCTTTTTGGTGCCTGTTCGGGGCGTCCTGGGCGCCTCTTGGGGCCTTCCTGGGGTACTCTTGGACGCTTTGGTGGCCATCTTGGGGCCGTCGCCTTGGAGGGGTGCGACCAAAGAAGGGGGGGGGGTCGTGAATTTGCCCCTCCCCCCGTAGGCCCAACGTGGACAACCAATGATTTGCATTGGCTCGCCGATGCCGCGTTGGACGCTCCAATCGGTTGCCGCCCCTGCCTTCTAGGTCCAATTGGGGTGGGTACAGTGGGGGCCCATGCCAAGAACCACCCTGCTTGCCTCTAGGGTGCCCTCTGTTCTTTGGGTTTCGATGGGTTTGCGATGGAAGGCACGACGCTCCCACACCAAAATTCGATGGACGTCCTGGGGTCTCAGGGTTGGGTTTCTTGTGGACGGTTTCTTGTGGACTGGCCTCCACTGTATTGCGAGGGGCGAGCCCATCCCTGGCTGGAAGAGGAATCTCGCTGAAACACTCACGCCCAGAGGGCCGGAGGGTTCCTCGGAAGAGAGGCCGAGCCCGCTATAGACCACCCAAGCCCCGAAGGCGAAGAGCTACAGTCGGGGCGTTGACCTAAGGAACCTTAAATAAGGAACGAGGCCCCTTTTTTCCATAAGTTAAACTTCGATCCCATCGAAGACCAAAGGACAACCTAAGGCAAGCTGCGAAACAATTAAGGAACACGGAGCCCCTCCCCAACGAAAAGGGTTCCTTGTCCAGCGCCCCGACTGTAGCTTTAAGTCGGGCCTGTCCCTCTATAGGGGGAGTTTTCAAAAATAGTCAAAAAATATCCTGGGGACGATATGTTGCGCATTTTTAGGCCATTGTGGAGCATGTGTTTCGTATGTTTTCTTTTTCGTCGGAAATCCCCCTGTAGGGGGACACGCCCGACTTAAACCTTCGTCCAGATGGCTGGCGGGATTGGACAGGTACAGAGGGAACCCTTCCGATTCATCCCAACCCCGAGGGCTGGTGGGAGGAATGCAAGGTTTTTGGCAGGAATTGCAGGGTCTGGTGTGTAGGCCATTGCAGGGTTGTGCAGGGTCGTGGTATCAGTGTAGCAGGGTTTCTTTTGCAAGGTCTTCCAGGGCGTGCGGCGAGGTCCAGGGGAGAAGTCAGGGAGAGGGTTCTTTTGTTGGAAAAGGGATGGATGAACTCCCTAGACCACGCAAGCCCAGAGGGCTCTTGGGATTCAGGCCCCGGGGGGTCTAAGTATATCCAGCCCACCGCCCCCAGGATATGAGTCTCCCACGCGGTGGATATTGATAAGCTCCAGCCTCGCAATTCCATTCCGCTCGGCGGCTCAGATATTCAGAGGAGGAACAGCATTCTATTGCCCGTCCCTCGTGGCCACGGCTGGCTTCGCCTCGAGATCGTAGTCAGAATGCGCCCGGGAGAGGCTTGGGGAGTTGCGGCATCGAGATGTTCGTTGCCTAAATGATGGGGCCCTGAGGGATGGGGCCTGAGGATATTGAGTCGCAAGTTGAACCTTGTCACCTTTTGGGGGTTACAGTCGGGGCGCTGAAGAAGGAACCCTTTTCATTGGGGAGGGGCTCCGTGTTCCTTAATTGTTTCGCAGCTTGCCTTAGGCTTTCCTTAGGTTCTCGATATGATATCGAAGTTTAACTTATGGCAAATAGGGGCCTCGTTCCTTATTTAGGATTCCTGAGGTCAACGCCCCGACTGTATTGTTCTTAGGGCCACATCTTTGAACCGCAGATCCGTGTCGTCGTCACTGTTGCCGTCGTGTGTGCCGCGTGAGCTGACGCTTCGCGGTCAGACATCCGAAGATACGTTCTTCAGATTTTGACGGTTTCCCTCGGTTTCGGTTTTGGGGCCCGCTATCGGGCTTGGTGGCCATGAACAGCGGATCCGGGAAGGGTTCGGGACTTCTGAGGCCGTTCATGGAAAGCAACACCGCGTCGGATTTCTAGGTACCTCAGAAGATCAAGAAGCCACGGCTAACGATGCATTCGAATCTGTCCAGCTGTTCAAATGTTCCGCACGGGATCCAGAGACGAGGGCCGCTACTTTTCCTGAAGCTGCTGCAATGTACACCCTAAGCCGATCGCATCATGACTTCGTTATCGCCCTATTACCTTGAAGCTGCTGCGGGGGCGGGGTAATTGACTTGCGAGCGGGGGCACGGCTCTCCACACTTTCTCCTCGGAGGGCCTCGTTCTCGCCGCTCGTCGCTTTGGGATCCGCCTCGAAATACTGTTCAGAGCACGCTCCATGCGAGGTTGGGGATCCCTGGCGGTTTCCAGACGTCGCCAGAGGCTCCTGGAGGGCCAACAAGGGCTGAGAACGCCTCAAACATACAAAGTATTATATTTCCGTGCCTCGACGTCCGTAGCCTGGCTCGAGAGTTGCGATTGTAAGTGCCCAGTTGTCATCAGTGGCAGCGGAGCTATGCCGTTGCTGCCGCTCGCCTCACTGATACTGCTTACGGCCCCTCCCCTAGAGGCAACTCTGGTCCAGGGTCCCTGGTCTGACGTCCAGGCCTGTCCCATGTGGCGAGCGCGCAAGCTGGTGGAGAACATGACGCTGGATGAGAAGATTTCCTTCCTGCACGGCGAAAAAGGCCCCTATGTTGGCAACGTTGCGCCCCTCCATCGGCTGGGCATCCCTCCCATCAACATGAACGACGGCCCCCAGGGTTTCCGGGCCGAGAAGCACAAGGGCACGAGCACAGCCTGGCCCTCCGGCTTGAACATGGCCGCATCTTGGGACCCCGAGGCTGTCCACGAGTGGGGCTCTGGCATGGGGCGCGAGTTCTACGACAAGGGCTCGAACGTTCAGTTGGGTCCCGGCGTATGCTTGGCACGCGTGCCGTGGAACGGGCGCAATTTCGAGTACCTCTCTGGGGAGGATCCCTATTTGGGCTACGTGTTGGCCCAGTCCGCTGTGAAGGGCATTCAGTCGCAGAAGGTCGTCGCGAATGCGAAGCACTGGGTAATGAACAATCAGGAGACGAACCGCCAGGCCGTGAGCGAGGACGTAGATGAGCGGACTCGGTTCGAAATGTATTATCCGCCTTTTGAGGGCGCCATCGAGGCGGGAGTTGGGTCGTTCATGTGTAGCTACAACAAGGCCAGTTGGGGCGAAGTGAGTATGGAACTAATGGGGACGATGCCCGACAGCAGTTATATTGCCCGTTCTGACCATGAAGCGATGTCGCTTTTGTTGCAAGCCCTGTTCGCTCGTGGCGGGCATCGTCTGCCTGACAGCGGCTGCCCATGATTCTGAGCCGCATCTGTTGTTGGGCGTTGCCCCCGCGGACGCCGCCCCCACCCTGGGGCGTGCCAGCCAGGTCAACGGGGCCTGGAGCTGCGAGAACCCCACCACGCTGGCGCAGGACCTCAAGCGCACGCTGGGCTTCCAGGGCTACGTCATGCCGGGCCCCGAGAGGGCCTGATCACAGATCGCTGGCGGCCGGTTGGTCTCCCAACCGACGGAGTATGTCGCATTTGGGGCCAGGGACGGGCCGGCATGGATCAGCACGAGGCAGCGTCATAGCCGGTGGCGCCCAGAATCGAAGAACAAGAAGCGGCATAATCCTAATTTCTCTGAGCCCTGCACGCATTTTTTTGATTGGCGTTGGGAACCTCTGGCGGCGCCTCCTGCGCCGCCCCTGGCGCGCTCCGCGCGCCAGGGAAGGGGGTCCAGCGCCGATCCAAGAAATCCACGCGGACCTCGGAAGTGATGATGATTCTCCCCCTGAGCCTGTGGCTCCCCTGTGGTTGGCCCTTTCCTCCGGAGATTCCGGGCCCTGATTCTTAGCATCATGGGACGCCCTGAAACGAGACGCTGCCAAAGAACGCTGGCGGGGGCGCACTCGAAAGCGCGGCGGGGTGGTCCGACGCGGGGAGTTCCCCCGCCTCGCAGGGGGGCCCTGTGAGGTCGGACTGGGGCGCCACCCACTCCGCCTCCATCATGCAGGGCCTGGACATGGAGCAGGCGACCCAGAGCAGGAGGAGGAGGAGGAGGAGGAGGACCAGTTTTAAACCCAAGAGTCATCAACGATGTTGGAATTAACCCTCCCTCCAAGCTCCCTCTTCCTAGGCCCAAAGGGAACTGCCTCGTTGGAAGACAACCGTTTGAAGACCTGAAGCATACCAAAACATTGCTCGGGATTTCAACGCCACGTATCAGTCAGTCTGCTGCGTCTTGACGATCCGGAATCGTCTCAGAACGCCATCTTTGGGATTTCAGCACCGCGGACCAACATTACTGTTGCACCCGCATAATCCTGAATCGCTCCAAAACACATGTTCTGGTACGTTGATCATGGGAATTCGTGAAACTCTTTGCAAACTTCGAAAACGAATGTGCGCGGCGCTGCGGCGAGAGCCTCATTTCGGAAAGGAACCGCCCTCAATCCGTAAAACTCTTGCGAATTTTGAGAAGGAATGCGCGCGGCGCTGCGGCGAGAGCCACATGTTGGAAACCGCCCGCCCTCAATCCCTGAAACTCTTTCAAATGTTTAAAACGAATGTGCTCGACGCTAAGGCGAGAGCCAAATTTTGTTTGAGGAGCCGCCCTCGACCCGTGAAACTCTTTCAAATGTTTAAAACGAATGTGCGCGATGCTAAGGCGAGAGCCAAATGTTGTAAAAGGAGCCGCCCTCAGTCCGTGAAACTCTCGCAAACTTTGAAAACGAATGTGCGCGGCGGTATGGCGAGAGCCACATGTTGGAAAGGATGTGTCCTCAATCCGTGAAACTCATGTGCGCGGCGCGAAGGCGAGAGCCACATTCTGAAAACGGCCCGCCATCAATCGGCAAAACCCGTGCAAATGTTGAAAACGAATGTGAGCGGCGCTAAGGCGAGAGCCACATTTTGAAAACCACCCGCCCTCAATCCGTGAAACTCTTTGAACATTTTGAAAACGAATGTGCGCGGCGCCTTTAGCCACATTTTGAAAACCACCCGCTCTCTATTTGTGTAAGCTTCAGAGTCAGAGATGGTGAGGAAGTCTCAGGCGAAACTCCCGGCACGCCTTAAAAAATGGCCTCGGGGTGCGACAGGGAGAAGTTATCTATAAGGAGGAGGAATGAAGGACGAGGGGGAGGAGGGGAAGGGAGAGGAGGGGGAGGAGGAGGGGGGGGGAGGGGAGGAGGGGGAGGGGGTGGGGGAGGGGGGGAGGGGGAGGAGGAGGAGGAGGAGGAGGAGGAGGAGGAGGAGGAGGAGGAGGAGGAGGAGGAGGAGGAGGGAGGGGGAGGAGGGCGGAGGGCGGAGGGCGGGGAGGAGGGATGGGAGGAGGAGGAGGAGGGATGAGGAGGAGGAGGAGGAGGGAGGAGGGAGGAGGGAGGAGGAGGAGGAGGAGGAGGAGGAGGAGGAGGAATAATAATAATAATAATAATAGTAATAATAATAATAGAAATAATAATCAGAAGAAGACGAAGACGAAGACGAAGACGAATAAGAAGAAGAATACTAATACTAACAATACGAATCACATGAATAATAATAAGAATAAGACTAGAATTAATAATACTAATCAGAACAAGAAGAACAATGATAAGAAGACGACAAAGAATAATAATACTAATAAAGAGAAGAAGGATAAAAATAATAAGAGGAGGAGGAGGAGGAGGAGGAGGAGGAGGAGGAGGAGGAGGGAGGAGGAGGAGGAGCAGGCGACCCAGACGTACATGAACGGCCAGGTCCTCAATGCCCAGGGAGCAGCTGGAGGGCGCGGCCCCAACCGCACCCCAGCCCCTGAGGGGGCTGGGCTGCCCGCGGGGCGCGCGGGGGGACGACCAACGCCTCGCGTTCTCGCGGCCTGGGCCCTCCTCCTGCGCGTTCCTCCCCCTCCTCCTCCTCCTTGCCCTCATTATTCCCCCCTCGTCTCTCATCCAGTTCGGTTCTTTATTCGGGAAGCGAAGACTTACATAAACCTAAGAACTCGGAGGTCCGCGCGGAGTTCGCGCCGATCCGAGGAATCCGCGCGGACCTCCGAGTTCTTATGTTTATGTCATGATTCGTTTCCCTACTTATGCATTGCTCCTCCCTGTCGCACCCCAGTGCGTGTCGGTGGGGCGGGCCGGGCGTCCCGCCCGAGACTTCACAACTTCTGAGCCTTAGGTTGCACATGTGCAACACTTTCACGGGTGGAGGCCGGGTCGTTTTCAAGATGCAGTGTTCGTTTTGGCGCCGCGCGCATTCGTCTCAACGATGGTGGTATTTTTCAGAATGTGGTTGTTCGCCAGTCCGAGTTCTTTGTTCGTTTCTTCCCTCGTGCCCCTCTCCTCCAGGCCCGTCCCCCCGCCGCCTCTGAGCATGCTCGGGGGCATGGCGCCCAGGCGTCTCGCGACCCATGCCCCTCGGCATCGTTCAACAGATCCCTATCCCCATCCCCATCCCGATCCCCACCATCCCACCACCCCAATTAGGGATATGCCCTATACCCCTCGAAACCTGAAGTCAACAGTCGGTATCCCCATCTAGGGGTGTAACTCGGCCAGTGGGGTCTGGGCCACGCCAGTGGGGATAGGGATTGGTTGAACGATGCCCCCCCCGCTCCCGCACGCGGTTGCATTTTCTTGCCCCAGGCACGGTCTGTGATGCCCCCAGGGTCCGAGAAGTGCTCTTGATGCCGACTCGTACGACTACTGCACTGCAGACGCCATGTGTCAGCCTCTTCGGCGTGGCGCCTGGGCAAATCATCGGGAGCGCGAAGCCGAAGCACGCAGCGCATCACGACTGCATCGCAGAAGACGGAGCGCACCACGACTGCGAGGCAGGAAAGCACGGGCGCCCCACGACGGCGAAGCAGAGCACGCCAGAGCACGGCACGAGCCGAAGGGAGGCACGGACGCGTCCGAGGTCTGGGCGGATCCCTCCTCCGGGCCCCTGCCCCCAGCCGGGCGGGGCAGGCGCGCCCTCGCTGCTCCCCAGAGCTGGCGCTCGATGCCGGCAACGTCTCGCAGGCCGCCATCGACGATTCCGTGGCGAGGATCCTGTGGTCGATGTTGTCGACGGGTGTGATGGACGAGCCGCTCTCGACTTGGGACAGGAGTCAGGGGCGCACCGCAAAGGGGGGGACCCGCTGGGGACACCAGCCCCTGCGACCAAACTGCATCAGGAAGAAGAGGAGCGTTCCCAAGGTGCCCTTTTTGCATCCTTGCCTCTCAGCCCATCCGTTAGACTTAGGTCACAGACGGATCTTGGACGAAAAATAGAACACAGTCAAACAATACCCCAAAATGGCCAAACAATACTCAAACAAAAACCATCCCCAGACTGTGTTTCTACCGCTTCTGAATTTTCCTCCTGTAGAGGGACCGGCCCAACGTCACGTCGGACCCTCTGGACGTGGGCCGTGGGCTTCCAGCTTCGGCTTCGAGCCGGGCGTCCGTGGGCCTGACACCCCTGCCGCGCCGCCCCCCGATCCCGCTTCGCACTGCCAACGCCTCGGAGACCGGCAGCGGCAGCTGGCCCAGGCGAGGTGGCACTCGGCGCCCCTGCGAGAGGCGAGCCGCCGAGCAGGGCGCTCCCGAGAGCCAGGCGCCGCAGTTTTCCCGCAGTGGGCGACGTCGCCTCGCCTCCCCTGGGACCATCGCTGGTCGGACCGGCTCGAAAAGTGGGCAAGAAGACGAAGTCCAGGGCTCCAGTCTCGGGCGATCCCAAACATGGCTCAGGGGGCGTGGATTAGCGACGGGCCCCGCTTCCATGGGGAATCGCGGACTTCCGCCGCCGAAGGAGGCGGCACCGGCCGCATTTCGAGGAGGGCACCTCCCCCGACCATGGGTTTGGCGACCGCGCGCCAAATCCATGGATCGCTAATCCACGTTTGCGCGCCCCCGATTGGTGGCGCGCGGACCGCGCCAGGGGATGCGCAGGAGGCGCTGGGGAGCTGCGCCGACCCACGAAAGCCGCGCGCGTGCATGTCGGGTATAGCCAGGACCCCAGGCAAGGGGACCCGGCTAGTGGCACGGCCCCGGAGCCCCGAAAGTGGGCAGAATCACCAAACCAGGTCTGCCGCAGCTGGTGCTTTTTCGGGTGACGGCAGTTGCGGTGAGTGGAACGGGGCGGGGGGACGTCCCCCAGTACACATCACCAAGCCAGTCCCCACTAGATCCAGTTCTGCCTACGCCCGAGCAGGTTCCTCTAGCATTGACCCTGGGGGGAACTTCTGTCCCCAAACCGTCCACTCATCGCTGGCCGAGGCACTGGCGCCCCGGTCTGCGGGGTGGGCGCAGCATGCGGCTTCCCGAGGAAAATATGGGAAACTACGGCAAGTGGGGGGGGGGGAGACAAAAATCCAGAAAGCATGCGAAAATATGGGGAATCTTGGGATACGTGCGTATTTATGTGTGTGTGTGTCCCTGGGCCCCATCGAGGGAACCTCTGTCCCGAACCCGCCCGCTCGTCGCTGGCCGAGGCACGGGCGCCACGGTCCTGCGGGGTGGGCGTGTAGCGTGCGGCTTCGTCATCGGGGGCCCACGTCGCCGATCCGCCAGCACTTTTCGCTGCCGGGTCCAAGCTTGTCACCACCACCGAGCCAGCCCCCCCCCCTGCAGTGGGGGCCCATGCCAAGGAGACACCCTGCTTGCGTCCAGGGTGCCCTGGGTGTCATGGGTTTCGACAGTTGAGCCACGGAGAGCGTGACGCTCCCACACCTAAGCACGATGGGCGTCCTGGGGTCTCAGGGTTGGGTTTCTCGCGGAAGGTTTCTTGTGGTCGGGCCCCTACTGTACTGGAGTGGCGGGAGTTGTGCCAGCGTTTGAGTCCGTCTCACATGCCAAGAGAGGGGCGGGGTACGATTTGCCCGATGTTGGGTTCTCCTGCGGTTGCACGGCCACGTCAAGAACATATCGCTTCATACTTCGCATGCTGCTTCCCGAAGAGCAAAGAACGGCATAAGCAAAAACTGTTGGCGGTCGCGCGGGTTTCTTGGATCTGCGCTGGGGCACCCTGGCGGCGCCTGTGGCGCCGCCCCTGGCGGCGCCATGGCGCGCTGCGAGCGCCAGGGAGGGGGTGCAGCTCAGATCCAATAAATCCACACGGAGCTCCAAAATTTATGTTAATGCAATTTTGCCCTCTTCTTCTTCTAGTTTCCGCAGCCGTGAAGGGGTGACACGCGTCCTCTTTGAACAAACCCCGAAGCCAGAGGCGCAGAGACCCTCATCAAATATCCCCTGCCAATCGGCTCCCCCTCCAGGAAGAACATCAAAAGGAACGTCACATCTGAGGCCTCGAGGTCCTCTGCTCGCCGCCTCGCGGCCGCGTCGACGGTCCTGCTGAAGAACGCGGGAGGCGTGCTGCCGTTGAGGACGGACTCGCGCATCGCCGTGATAGGGCTCGGCGATGCGAACGCGGTGACCCACAGCTTCGGTTCTGGACGAGTGGATCCCTCTCGGGTCGTGACCCCGCTGGCCGGCATCCGGGCGGCCGTGGCCCCCAGCTCCGCCGTGACGTTCCGGAGCGGGAACGACACGGAGAGCGCCGCCTCGGCGGCCCGCGCCGCAGACTACGCAATCGTGTTCGTGGGGACCTTGTCTGGTGAGGGTCAGGATCGGTCGTCGCTGTCCTTCGACACCGGCATGCCGTCGCTCTTGAACCAGAATGAGCTTGTGCGTGCAGTTGCAGCGGCCAACAGCAAGACGATCGTCGTGGCCAGCGCCCCAGGCTTCAGCCGGGCCTGTCCCTCTACAGGAGGAATATTCAAAAGTAGTACAAAAATAGTCTGGGGGCGATTCTTTGAGCACCTTTCGACCATTTGGGGGCATTTGGGGGGGACTTTTTTTTCGTCAAAAACCCCCTTGTAGGAGGGCAGGCCAGACTTAACGCCAGGCGCGGTGCTCATGCCCTGGTCCAACAGCGTCGCCGCTGTACTCCTGAACTTTATGCCCGGTCAGGAGGTCGGCAGCGCGGTCGCCGACGTGCTGTTCGGGAGAGTCAACCCTTCCGCGAAGTTGCCGCTGACGCTGCCGAACTCCGAGAACGAGACGCGGTTCTCCCCCGACCAGTGGCCTGGTGGGCCCGACCCTGCCAGGCCCGCCCACGCGAGCTACTCCGAGAAGCTACTCGTCGGCTACCGCTACTACGACGCGCACGGGCTGAACTTCTCCACAGGCTTCCCGTTCGGGCACGGGCTGTCGTATTCGACCTTCGAGTATTCCAACCTGTCCATCGACGACGGCGGCGCTCCAGGGCTCGCCGCGCGGGTCGCGTTCACGGTGGAGAACAGCGGGCGCGCGGCCGGCGCAGAGGTGGCGCAGCTCTACCTCGGGTTCCCGTCGGGCGCCGGGGAGCCGCCGCGGCAGCTGAGGGGCTTCGAGAAGACGCGGGTGCTGCAGCCCGGCGAGCGGCAGCGGGTGGCGTTGCCGCTGCGTCCGCGGGACCTGTCGGTCTGGGACGAGGCCCGAGGGAGGCCAGCCGCGCACCGGTGGTGAGGCTTCGGGCTGCGCACCGGCAGCCCCCCTCTCCCGGGCAGCCCCAGGCCAGCCTCAGCAGGCCCCCCGAGTACTGGGCTGATCTCAACAGGCACCCCCCCAGGGTAGTCTTGAGCGGTCTCAACACGTTGGGGGGCCTGCTGCGGGCAGCCAGGACCCGGCCTCGCGCACAGGCGGGGCAGTTAGGGGGAGAGGCAGGGGGTAAGGCTTCTTCGAAGCACCCCTGCGTCTGAGAAGCCTCCCCCCATCCCCCTGCCCCCCTACCCCCCCTGGCGCGTCGCCAAAGGACCACCAGAGGGGGCAGTCTGTGCGCACTGCGGAGCCCTACCATGCACCCTGGCTCGGTGCACGCCTCCGCGCATGCCGGCGTGCGGCGGCGGCGTGCATATCGAGCTGGTTTGCTTTGGTGTACGGGCGGCGTCGGTCTGCGAGGCAGCGCACGCCTGGTCATTGGCGCGGGGCACCTTCCAGGTGGCGCCCGATGTGCAGAGGAGCAAGAGTTAAGTCGGGCGCGTCCCTCTGCAGGAGGAATATCCCAAAATAGTCAAAACAAATGTGGGGACGATGTTTCTGCTATGTTTGGCCCTTTTTGGGGTGTATGTTTTGACTATTCTTCATTTTTCCTCCATAATGCGCCTGTAGAATGACATGCCAGACCTAACGCTACTCTTTCCTCTTGTTCCCCACCTTGTGCCTCCTGGGAGGCCGTCGTCGCCACAGTTGGCATCGCCTTGAGCCGAAGGACCACACATGCCATAAACATGATGAATTTTCGGAGTTCCACGCGGACTGCTCGGGTCGGCGCCAGAGCCCGCTTGCGGCGCCCCCGGCGCCGGGGGCCTGGCGCAGATCCAAGAACTCCGAGCGGAGCGCCGAACTTTTATGTGTATGCCGTTTTTTGTTGTGCCTCTGTCGAAAATGATCTCGGTTTCTGATTCATTGTTTTGCCGATCGGCGCGGCCCCTCGCACCCCCCCCCTCCCTGGAGTAGATCTTGGATGTTTTTGGCGCCTGTTTCAGGCAGGTGGGGCCTCATCCATAGGATGCACTGCTGCAAACAGTCGCGGTAAGCAGAAATCTGGAGCCAGACGCCCCCCCCTCCCCCCACTCTTCCGCCCAATGTCGAAACGCCGAGCAAGGAAACGCCCACAACTCCAGGTCAGAACGCACCCTGGGAGAGGTCTCCGGGGAGTCGTGGCATCGGCATCCTTTGTTGCGAAGGTTCGTAGGGGGAGGGTTCTCCCAAGGTTGGGCTGGGGAACGGGCCCAGCAGGAGGAGGAGGAGGAGGAGGAGCTGGAGGCGGAGGAGGGGCTGGAGGAGGAGGAGGAGGAGGAGGAGGAGGAAGAGGACAGCCTTTGACGCGCCCCCTGGTCCCCCCGCCTCCTTCGTCCGAGCGCCTGCCTCTGGTCATGAGTTGCGAGCCCCCCTCTTGGGTTTGTCCCCCTTGGACGTCCTAGAGAAGAGCTGTCTCAGCCAGGAGAGCGCCGCGGAGACCCGTGGCCGGCTACGCGGGGGGTGGGGTACGGGCACGCCCGGGCCGCCCGCGCAGGGTGGCGCGTCGTCGCCATCCCTTTCGGGGGTGGACAGACTTCCTACCCTGACACGTCGATCAAGGAATTGGCCGTTTTCGGTTCGCGAGAGGGCGTCGCGGCCGTTATTTTTGCGGGTCCAGGTCCGTCGGTTTCGGTCCCAGGCAGTTTTCACTAAGGGGAGGTTTACTAAAGGGAGGTTTGTCCACCGCCGAAGCATACAGTATTCGGCCTGGCCTACGGAACGATAAATAAGGAATAAGGGCCCCTTTGTTTGCAAATAAGTCCACGAAGTCCGAAGGAATAAACGCATGCAAACTAAAGGAACGGCCGAGCCCTTTTTGAAAAGTGAGTGTTCCTCATTCAAGCCGGACCCTCTACTTCACTAACATGTGAATCATAGGTGCGTGCCACACACCGAACATGCACCAGTAGCAGATATCAGCTCCACACATCAGAGGCATGGGCCAAGAAACCACAGTCAGAACAGGCATCAGTAAGGCAGTCTGGCCATGGATCAAGAGCCAGCAGCAATTGCGTATACCCAGCACTTGCATCAATACCATGGGCGCGTAGAATACACCATGGTCATACGTCAGTAACGACCGTCCATTCACACACCAGCCAGTACCAGACATCAGGCAGCAATAACGTGCATCAATCAGGCATACTTAGAGCATGCACTAACGCTGAAACAACGAGCGCACACACAGATACACACACACGCATCACAAGTACACCGAGAACACGTAGCACGCACATGCGCGGCGCCCATTTAAGACCATGTGTGTCGAATGTTTGGCACGAGCGCACGTAGAACAAACACGACGATCGCTTACAGACAACGGGTATAGGAAGACCAGATAGCAACACCAACCATCAACATCACATAATACAGTAATAATCACGACCATGCATTATATGCAAGGCATATCGTACAATGGGACTGCACGCCTAGCTCTTACAGCATTACAATACCACGCCAGTAGCACACATCGGAACACACATCAGCTGCATAACTACAACATGTATGCTTTGCATGCGCAGGAAGCGCACTCCATCAACATCATCGCACAACGAACACCAAACATCTTTATCGAAGACGCTTGCGGCGAATCGCCGCCGCCCCCTGCCTTATGAGAAGCGCCTATGTGGCCGAATGTTGTGGCCAGAGCTCGGCCAAGCTGTCGGACGATGTGTTCCCCCAGCCGTTGTGGAAGCCCTTAGGAGTTTCATGATGGTCTATTGGAGGCCTCTTGGGGGCCTCCTTGGTCCTCTTGGTGACGTTCGGAGGCTTCCTGGGGGCCTCTTTGTCAGACTTTGGGCGTTCTTGGCCCGTTTGTTGCCGTCGGAAGCCATCTTGGGGGCTACTCTGTGCCGTCTTGGGGCCTTCTTTAAGGCAGTCTTGGATACTATCTTGGGTGTTTTGAAAGCCTCTTGGGCCCTCTCGGGGCCGTGTTGGGGGACTCTTGCGCCGTCTTGGGGCCATCTTGGAGGCATCTTGGGCGCTCTGGGGGCATCTTGGGCCGTCTTGGGCCGTCGGGAGGCCGAACGGACGCAACTGCCTAAATCCTTGAACAACCTTGTTGTGGGAATTCGTGAGCTTGGCCTCTTGGGGGCTTCTTGGAGGACCTCTTGGAGGCCTCCTTGGCCTTCTTGGAGGCTTTTTCCTTACCTAGGCTCTACCTAGAAGGGTTCTTACTCTCTTAGCTTAAAGGGGCCGGGCAATGGAAAGCGCCCCGGGCGGTTCCCCCAGTCCCCTGGGAGCGGTTCCCCCCAGTCCCTTGGGAGCTTTAGCTTTAGCTTTAGCTTTAGCTTAGCTTTAGCTTAGCTGTAGCTTAGCTTTAGCTTAGCGTTTCGCTTAGCGTTTCGCTTAGCGTTTAGCTTAGCTTTAGCTTAGCTTTAGCTTAGCTTGGGCTTGGCTTGAGCTTAGCTGTAGCTTAGCTTTAGCTTAGCTTTAGCTTAGCTTTAGCTTAGCTTTAGCTTAGCTTTAGCTTAGATTTAGCTTAGCTTTAACTTAGCTGTAGCTTAGCTGTAGCTTAGCTGTAGCTTAGTTGTTGCTTAGCTTTAGCTTAGCTTTAGCTTAGCTTGAGCTTAGCTTGAGCTTAGCTTTAGCTTAGCTGTAGCTTAGCTTTAGCTTAGCTGTGGCTTAGATTTAGCTTAGTTTTAGCTTTGATTTAGCTTAGCGTTAGCTTAGCGTTACTGTTACTACTAATGCTGCTTTCCTAGGGGTTCCAACTCCTAGGTAGGGTCGCACTGGGATAATTTGGAGCCATCTCGGGCCGTCGTGAGTGCATCTTTGGTCGCCTTGGAGACATCTTTCGGCAATATTGGGCTCTCTCGGGGCCGTGTTGGGTCTGGTGGGTTTCTTGGAGGCGTCTTGGGACAATCTTGGCGGCCATCTTGGCCGTCCTGAAGCCGATGGGGCCAACGGAGAACGAACTGTGGGAGCGGGGCGGGCCTATGCCCCAGTGAGAGTCTAACAGAACCAGCAAACACCAGCAGTTCAGCACGCCCTGCACCCCTGCGAGAAGCCACAGGGGGCGGCGGATGACGGAAAGCGCGCTTAGTGTCGCGATTCGTCAAGCGCGAGAAGCAACGAAGGGGGGAGTGTGAGGGGGTTGGCCACGGAGGACCCCCATGACGGCAAGCGCGCGGTCGCGACCCGCTAGTTGGGAGAAATCACAAGAGGGGAGTGTGAGGGGGTTTGGCAGGTCCCGTCCCAGACTTAATCGCCACAATGTTCGGCCACGTCCGGTCCCAGACGGCCCAAGAAAGCGCAGGAGGGCCCCCAAGACTGGGGGTGGGCACCTTGCGGCATTGCCAGCGGGTGAGCGATCTCTTGCCTGAGCTTCTGCCATAATGGCGTCTCAGCTTCTACGGATTGGCCAAACGGGTTCGGTGGAGGAGGAGGAGTACTGCCCCTGGGAAGGATGCATTGCCATATGCTGCTGGGCAGGTTGAAGGCGGGATTGAACTACTGTATTCGGTTTGTGAGGAGCTTTACGGGACATGACAGTGCCACACTACCTGCTAATATGCGGGACATGCTCTTCTTTCTGCCGAAGGGCTCGTGCCCAGACGACTCGAGCCACGGAGTCACTCAATCTGCTGACACTATTCGGCCGCTTGCCCTGTGCGACGCCGATGCCAAGATCATGTCCCTTGCGTTTGGCTCATCACTTGCCGAGTTGTCTGTCAACACGGTGCACCACGATCAGAGGGGAGGGCTTAGAGGGAGACAGATATCATCAAATAGCGTGGTTGCCGATCGGTGGGATGGCCAGCAGCACCTAGGCGGTGCGCTACACAATTTGCAGCTACTTACTGATTGGGCAGTGGCGTTTCCATCGATGCACATTGTCTGGATATTGCAGGTGCTTGCCACCATGGGTGTGCCAAGGCCACTCGTTTTTCTGTTGCATTGTATGTTGCCAATATTGAGACGATTATGATGGGTGGGTTGGTCACGGACATTAGCATTGATATCGGGAAGGGGGCTGAGGCAGGGCGATCCGTCTGGCATGTGCCTCCTTGCGCTGGCCACTAGCCCTATGCTGCGGTGGCGGTTGCACCGCGGGAGTCGACACATGGGCCGTATCTTGGTTTATTGTGACGACCTTGTTTCTGACGCAGGATGATGTTTCAGGTTTGGGCCCGATGTTGGAGCTTCTGTGTCGGTTGGGCAGCCTTATTTATTGGGCTGACGCTCGATATGAAACGTGTGCTTTGTTGATTGTGGGCGACGCTGCTGTTGACAGGATTCGTGGCTTGGTACGACATTGGGGCCGGGGTTTAGTCAGTTTGTGGTTGTGGGAATGGCAAATTGTCTCGGTGTTATGATTGGGCCCGAGGGGCATCGGCACGCCTGGAATGAGGTTATCCCGAAGCTTCTGGACCGTACTTTGGATGTTAGCGAGCTGGTCTTGGTCTTTCGCTGGCGCCCTGCACATACCATGTTATTTGCGTGTCGTTTTTGCAATATGTGCTGCAATTCTATCCCCCGTCGAAGGCGTTATTTGACGCCTTTGAGAGGCGCCCGTATTGGCTCAACTGTAGACTAACGGGCCGCGGAATGCTATACAACATGGTTTGGAAGTGTCACACATCTGCGTAGGGGGGACAGGACTCAAGCATTTGCCGCGTGTTAGTGTTGCTGCTCGTGCGCGGCGTGCCGTTCATTGTCCTGCCTTTAAGGAGGAGCTCGGTGCTGTACGGTCCGTTCCTCGCTTGGATGAATGGTGCAGTCCCCGCGCGTGGCGAGGCTGGTGAAGGCGCAGCATTACCCTTCAAACGGGGGCGGCTCATGATGTAATGCTACCGGTGCTCCTCTCGTTGCCGCCGCTGGTCCCGCGTAGATCTATCCAGCGTAAGCTGCACTCATATATCACTCGCATGTGTCTGCGTCCTGGCTGTGGTGACCCCGAGATCTTCAAGGCTCGCATGGATAAGTAGCTCCCCGAGGTGTCTGTCGATATTATCCCGAATCTGCTTGCTTTTGAGAGAGCAACATGTCAGCAAAAAGACCAGTCCTGCGGTGATTCAGGCGCGGCTGGCCTGCAGAGGCCTTTGTACCTCTTCTCGTTTCGGATATGCGGCGAAGCGTTGCTAGTTGTGGTGCAGAGACGCCGGGTGCAGAGGTATGCCCCAATATGCGGGAAGTGTTTGAGCCTTGGGCTCGGACGGAGTTGCCACCGCATGGCAGTGATTGGTTTTTTGATTTGTTTTTGTTTGTGACGCCTCGTTTCACTCCTGCGCAATGCCCTTTTCATGTTCTGCATAACGCCAGGCGGCTTGGCGCCAGCATCGAGCCTCGACTGATCCTTGAAGGAAGGCGACGTTCCTCGTGCCGCAAACACAGCTCTGTGCAGGCGGTGTGGGGTCACAGGCCTGGTTAATAGTGTTTCAGCTTGGGCGCCGCTGCGACGCATAGTGCGAAGTGTACCCTGGAAGCCGGCCGTTGGCTGGAGCCGTGCCGCTAGGGAGGCGGCACCTTCGACACCGTGCGTCTGGCACCTGGGCTCCTGGCCTCTCGAGACCCCTTGGCCCCCCCCCCAAAAAAAAAACTTGGAGTGGGCACCAAAACTTCCCCCCCCCCTTCAGCATGTCCAAACGACGGACGGACTGGGGGGGGCGTCCTCATTATCATTCTCGTCCGCCTCCTGCTCCTCTTCTTCCTCCTGCTCCTTCCCCGTCTTTGTTATATTCCTCTCGTTTTCCTTCCTCGTCCTTTCCTCCTCCTCCTCCGCCCTGTTTGTTCCTTGTCCGCCTCATACTCCTCCTCCTTCTCTTCCTCTTCCCGCTCCTATCATCATTCCTCCTCTTCCTTCTCCTCGTCTCCTCAACCTCCGCATCTTCGGTGCCATCCGCTTCGTTCCGTTTCCGCCCTCCCCCTCATCGGCGGAAACCTCCAGAGTTCTGGGACCTGCTCTGGCTCTGTATTGGAATTCGATGGGGATTCGATGCGAATTCGATGCATCGTTTGGGGCCTTGGGCACCCCGATTTCAGGCCGAAGCTATCACGTTCGAGACGGGGCTTCACGGAGATGACGAATTGCCTGTGAGACTTCGCACACTGTTTTTACATACCCATTGCATCATCATTCGCAATCATTTTTTTCATTGGCGTTGTTATTGCCTGCTGCCTGGGAAGTACAAGGGACGCCAGGGCGAAACCGTCTGCAGATAAAGAAGAATAATCTTCTGGATCTGGGTTACGTTCCGTTTCTATTGGTAGCAGGCGGGGGGACATATCCAGATTCGTTCTAGGAGTAAGTTAGATCAGGGATCTGCCCTTTCTGTACTGAAGCCCGATCAGCAATTCTATCAACATCCATCTGCTGCTTCGCGTGACCCCACCAGCCCATGCAGAGACGATGCCCTGAGGAATTGCCTCGATCGGGGAAGTGGACAGCACGCAGAGGAAGGGTCCCTCTTGGAGCGCTCTTGGGACGCTTTTGGGCGCTCTTGTGGGCCTCTTGGCGGTCCCGGGAGCCTTTTGGAGCGTCTGCCTCGGGGACCCTCTTGGGGCCGCGCGGGGGTCTTTTGGGAGCCTTCTGGGGGCCTCTTGGGCACCTCTTGGGTCCTCCTGGGCGCCTCTTGGGACGCTTTTGGGAGCCTCGGGGGCGCTCTTCGGGACATCCTGGAGGCCATCGATGAAACAAGAGGGAAGCTCAAATTAAAGCCCCCCTCGGGAGCCCCGAACATCGCCTCTTGGGGCGCTCTTGGGCGTTCTTGGGGCCGTATTGGGGCTCTCTTGGGCCTCTGTTGGGACCGTGCTGGCCCATCTTGGAGCCATCTTGAAGCCTCGGGTGGCGATCAGAAGCGAACAGGCGAGACAGCAATAAAAGCATTGATTTTCTTTCTTGTTTGGTTTTGAAACGATTTTGGCCTGTTCGGGGCGTCCTCGGGGAGTTCTTTGGCCATTTGAAGCCGGTCTTGGAACTTTCTTGGGGCATGTTGGAGCATGTCGGAAACCATTTTGAGGCATCTTGCGCTATCTTGATCCATTTTGGACGCCATCTTGGGCTTTCTGATGCCCTCTTGGAGCCGTCTTGGGCCATGTTGGACGCCCCAACCGCTCGCGAAATCCCCCGTCCAGGTCCAGGGGAGGGGGTAGGGGGAGGGGTCAAGACCCCCTCCCCGCCCGCAAGCCGTCTCGCTCACTCCCACCCGCCCTCCCAACACATACGTAGCACCCGAGTCTGGCCCGAGCCTCAGCAGATTCAACAGTCGTCTTTGGATGGGCGGCTACTGGGGGCTAATCCGCCGCCGCTGCTGCTTCCGCCGCCGCCGCCGCCGCAGCCGCCGCAGCCGCCGCCGCAGCCGCCGCCGCCGCCGCCGCCGCCGCCGCGCCGCCCGCCGCCGCCGCCGCCGCCGCCGCCCCGCTGCCAAATCGCCGCAGCCGCTGCCGCCGCAGCCGCTGCCGCCGCAGCCGCCGCCACCGCCACCGCCGCCACCGCCTCGCCGCCGCTGCCGCCGCAGCCGCCGCCGCCGCCGCCGCCGCCCCCGCTGCCAAATCGCCGCAGCCGCTGCCGCCGCAGCCGCAGCCGCTGCTGCCACCGCCACCGCCACCGCCGCCGCCTCCGCAGCCGCTGCCGCCGCCGCCGCCGCCGCCCCCGCCCCCGCACCCGCAGCCGCCGCCGCCGCAGCCGCAGCCGCCGCCGCCGCCGCCAAGTGTACTTTGTATTGCTTTTTGACAGGGATGGTTGGGGAGGCCGCATCGGGTTGGCTGCGCATGCTCCGAATTTGGAGGCAGCGTGTTTTGCATGGTTTTTTACTAGGGATGGGTGGGGCGCGTGGTTCCTGGTTGGCTACCAGTCGCCTAGGGGAAGGGGGTATTTGTTAATAGGAAACAGTGATAAACCCGTCTCCGAAGAGGAATAATGGAGGTGGAAGAGGAAACGCCCTAGACCACCTAATCCCAGAGGGCTGGTGGAATTCTCTGGATGTGGGATCTGGTCCGTTTCTATTGCAATCCGATGAGGACCCGACTCGAACCCATTGGGAACCCTCTGGATCTGGGACTTGTTCCGTTCCTTTCCAATTCCGTTCAGGGTCCTATTCAACATCTCTTGGGATTGTTTTTCCGATTCAAAATCTATGGGGATATTCAAAATTTTGATATTTGGTCTGGTCCGTTTCTTTTGAAGCTCACTGATCATCTCATCCACATGCGATGGAAAGACAGCGTATCCTGGACCAGCTCCAGGTCCAACTGAACGCGTATCATCATCAGGTGCAGGTCCAAATGGAATCCCCTGGATCTGGGATTTGCACGTTTCCGATGGACGCCCACATGAGGTCACATTGAATAAATGGTTTTTGAAATCTGGTGTTTCCCCCCGCTTCGCTTGAACTATGTAAATGCAATGGGAGTATTGTGAATCTGGGATTTGCGATTGTTCTACGTTATACATAGATGTAGAAGTGTGCATATGCACATTTAGGGATATGTATATGTATGTAGTCATGCTATACACTTCGCTCATATATCAGCAGTTCACGTCAAGACCAGACACATACACCGCACTTAAAGAACACGCGTCGGCTGATATGCATGGGCATCATACATCAGCAACACACCTAACCGCAACATGATCCAAACTTGAAGGTCGAGCACGTTGCATCACGTATATAATTATTGCGCACACGTATCACATTACCAAACTAGTCGATCACATCACGTATCGCATCACGTATCACGTGCAATAGTCGATGCGTACACAACAAGCATACGGCAGGTTCGCGTTGTGCCGACCAGCGGCGACCCCACCGCGTGCGTTTCAGGTTGAACGCCGCCCGTGGCCCAGAATCGGCCCGTCGATGAACGATCCGGCGTTCACGGAACGTCCGATCGTTCAAGTTTGAACGATCCCCGCGGTGCCAGGAACCAATGCCAGGGTCGACACGACGCGATTTTGCCGTACATGACATGTGGAACGACCATGCGTCAGCAATGCAGTGCCATATCGCACTGGAGTAGGGTCACGTGGCAGACTTCCCAGCCACATGTGCCGCAGCTCCCTGGTGAAGATCGCCCGCGGCAAAGGAGAGTTCTTGACTGCTTCCTGGGCGCAGACAGAACCCCACGGAGGCCGAGAACTGCAAAAGATGTTCCTCCGTGCCATCGTGCCAACATCACCGTTCGGAAAACGATAGGATGGGCCTGGAGTGTCCTGGAGAATGTCGTTCCGGATCTCGAGGTGAATGTCGTGGAGACTGCCACAAATCCACGCGAAATTCACTTTGTTTTTCATTCGCCGTTTCGGGGTTTGGCGTTGGCAGGAATCCGCGCAAAAATCAGTTGCAGCACGTCTGCAAGGTCGGCGCAGTGATCCGTGATCTCTCAAGGACGCCGCGGATCGCCTATGAGTAACATCACTTAAATTTCGATGCCGATCTCGAGGATTCCCTGGTCAGGCCTGGAGATAGGGATGAGGCCGTGGCTGGCCGACGAAGTGTCAGGGCCAGATGTGTGGACTCGCGTGCCGCCCGCTTCGGGGGGTGCCAAAGGTGCTCCTGGCCCAAAGTGCACCCGGCTTCTCGCGCGGTCTTGGAGCCCCATGGGACCCTCTGGGCCTCGAGAGGGATGCTCTGGAGGCCGTTGGGACCCTGGAAATTCTGGGGGCACCTCGGGCCAGCGGGCACTTCTGGCAACACCCGACCCCTGCAGGTGGTGGTGGGGGCCTCCTCCCGGGACGCCCGCCTGAACGGCGTCCTGAGCGTCGTGGGCGAATCCGGCCAGCCGCCCGTTGCTTACGTATGACCCCCCGTTCGCGCGCCGCCTCGCAGAGGGAGCCCCCCTCTCAGGCGCCCCCTCGCAGGCTTGCCTCAAGAGAGTCCGTTCCCGCACAAGTCGAGGAAGTGGAGTTTCACAGGCGCGCGGTCGAGACGGAAAACAAAGAGACCGCTTTGGGCTCGGGAGGGGCTTGCTGTTCCTCAGGTAGTTCCCTGGCTGCTCCTCTAGCCTCTCCTCGTGCACCCAGGCGCTTCCAGTGCCAAAAAGAGGCCTCGTTCTTTCTCTAGCGTGCCTCACTGCAGCAGCTTGACTGCACACTCACGGAGGTCCATGCTCCGTGCGGATATCTTGGATCGGCTGTAGTCCCCCCCCCCTTGGCGGCGCACCCCCTTGGAGCGCTCCAGCGCCCATCCGAGAAATCTGCGCGGACCTCCGACAGTACGGTCATGCTGCTTTCTCCTCCTCGATACGGGCGCCTCCTCCCGAGCTGGTGAGAGGAAAATCGGACCTCCGCTCATCGCGCAACAAAAAACACGACGTCGGAGGTCTCCGCCATCCGCGCCGCTCGATTCGGTCGGATCGCAGGCGCAACCGCGGAAGCTGCTGGAAGCCCCTGGGAGGCCCCCAGACCCGATGGGTGGAGGCGCGGCAGAAGTAAGATAGGTGCTTTTCTGTTTGGGGGAGTCAAGGGAGGAAAAACCACCCCGACCGGACAATTGGCGTTTGCTGAACGGCCCTGGGCGTTTACTAAACAGCCTTGCCCTGTGTGATTCTTTCTTTGGGTGCGTACACTAAACGGCTTCGCGTGTCGGGGTGGTTATTATCGGGAGGGATATTCTGCCCTCCAGGGAGGGGAGAGAAACAAAATCGGCGGCGGCGATTGCGCCGACGAGGCGACGCCGCCGATGGCGCGACGAGGACCGCGGCCCCTGGGCGAGGCCAGCGCGGAGGGCGGCCCCGGGGGCCCGGGGGGGGGGGGGCGCGTGGAGGGTGCTCCCCCTGCCCCCAAGCGGTGCCTGAGGCCCACCCTCCACGCCTCTTCCGCTCCCCTCCCCACTGCGTCCCCCTCCTGGTCCTCATTCCGCCTCCTCCTCCTCCTCCTCCTCCCCCTCCTTTCTCCTCCTCCTCCTCCTCCTCCTCCTCCTCCTCCTCCTCCTCCTCCTCCTCCTCCTCCTCCTCCTCCTCCTCCTCCTCCTCCTCCTCCTCCTCTCCTCCTCCTTCTCCTCCTCCTCCTCCTCCTCCTCCTCCTCCTCCTCCTCCTCCTCCTCCTCCTCCCCCTCCTCCTCTCAAGCAATTGGGCTCGAGAGGTTTGCAGGGGAGCAGATCCATCGGGCCCACTGTTGCGCGCGCGCCGCGCGTCCGCACCTGCCCAGCACGCAGGTCCGAGGCGCGCTCGCGGCTTGAGGGGCACGCCATCGGTGTGGCAGAAGTCGCAGCAGAACCACGACGGCTACTACGGCATCATGGTTGGACAACGCCCGCCCTGGAAGCAAGGATGTCGGTCGGCAAGCAGGGCACGATCGCAGTCGAGGTCGAAGAAAGACTACCAGGGCGGGACGAGGAGGAAGATTGTGGTATGCAGTATGTGCACTCCTTTGGCAGCAGCTGGATATTTTGTGGTCGCATGCATGACAAGCCAAAGTGCACAAAGTGTGGCACAGCATGGGCAGACTCAGACAGGACAGTTACGCAGGCCCTAGTCGCCCTCCTCGCAGACCAGTGCAAAAACGCAAAGGAAGCCAACAACAAAGAACGGATGGAGCTGCTGGAGCAAGCTTGTCCAAAGTTACGAGCTCCAGACCCTGTACCTGTCCCAGCGCCAAAGCCTTTTCGAGGAGTTGGAAGCTACGGCGCAGGAGCTCAGCATGGTCACGACGGCGGGTGAGGAGCTACGCAAACGACTCCAGCGCAACGCAGAAGAGCAATACAACATCCTCGAGAAGCTGGCAAACAACAAGATGGCAGAAACAGAAGCTCAGCAGAAGGTGGACCTGTGTCGCGAGAAGGTCCCAGGACAGCCTCCACCAATTTCGGCCACCGTTGATGAAGCAGTTACTCCAGAGCTCAGTCCAGAAGAATTGGCCTTCCTGGGAGATGCAGAAAAGAAGGAGTACGAAGCAGCGAAAGAGGCAGCAACGGCGGCAGAGAAAATTCTGGAAGCAGCCAACGGAGCCACTCAGGCCCGCAAAGAAGCGGCAGAGAACCTCAGGAAGTTCGCAGATAAGGCCCAATAGTGCAAGCGTAGACGTGTCAATCGAGGTGAAGCACCGGCGGGCGGAACTCAACAAAAGACTGATGACCAAGAAGCAGAGGCCCCACCAGAGCAGACCAAGCCTTACGATTTCACCATGCCCGCAGACGTGGACAGCTTTTTGGAGAACTCGGCGCGGATTCGCGAGCGCAACAAGACTGTGGCGGCGGCAAAACCAGAAACGAAGTGTTCCTAACAGGCAGCGCAGAGTCACGCTCCAGGACCCTATCTGCGACGTGCAGGATCTGACGGACGAGGGCAAGCAGTGCTCACATGCATTCGTGGCGAATACCTCATAGTACAATGCTTCGGCCAGACAGTTCATCTTGGATTCCTCATATGACGCGGCGGGCCTGGTAGAACATCAGCTTCAACGAACCAAGACCGCTGAGGAGGCCCAGGGGCTGCAGCAGCACGGCTGGCACTCCCAGCGCACTTGGGCGGCGGCGACTCGGACGGGGCGATCAGCAGGGGGCACTCATGGGGGAGTGCGTTGGCTACGTCGCTCGCATCATCAGGCAGCAGTGCATCTACCCACAGTCATGGGGGCCGAGCCTTTGAGAAGTAGCTGAATGACATCGCGGTGACGCATTGGGATTTGAAAGGTGGCATTCGCAGCGCGCTCTTTGTCGCATACCTGGGCAGTGGCCCTGGCCTCGCGGGCCCCAATGCGAAGAAGATGAAGCAGCTGGCGCAGTTGACCGCAAGCATCTCCACACCATGGATGGCTGCGGGCGGCTGGAACGTTACGCCAGAGGAGCTCATGCAGCCCCAGTTGGCCAAGAATCTCAAAGGGGCACCGGCGTGCCCGAACGTGGGCGCCACATGCACCAGCGGTAGAGGCCTTATGCTGGACTATGTAATCTGCCCGCCACATTTCAGACCTTTCTTAGGAGGCGTCTCGGCGGTCACGGCAGTTCCTTGGAGGCCCCATGTTGGGTTACACATTCGGATCGCTCGGAAGCCAGCCTGCTTACAAATGCTGTCTCCCGTTCGAGCAGAGCAGCGCGAGATCCCATGCGTCAGGCTGAACGTCGACAAGGGCATCAAGAGGCAGCAGCGGGATCGAGAACACATTCGAAACTTACAGAGAACACGATCGAGCTTGAGGCCCCCCCCCCCCCCCGACGGCGACCTCTCGGAAGAGCAGCAGGCGCTCCAGCGAGGGAGAGCATGCATTGACAAGCTGCTCGAACCAACCTATTCCAGAGAAGTTTTGTCCACGCAGTTTCTGATGAACTTTGGCGTGAGATACGGCAACAGGCGGAGCTCGGTGAACATGCGGATCCCGACGACTTCGCCCAGGGGAGCTCAGCGCTTAGCGTGCCAGTTGACGACCGAGGGCAGCACGCAGCTGGGGCAGCAGTGCGAAAGTTGGGCTCAAGCGGCAGACCGCGCGCTAGCCATCCCCTGTGACAAAGAGAACCAGGTGAAGACGACAAGGAGACGACCAGTAAAGTATCGCATGGTACCGGCAGCCTCGCGCCGTGAACCTCGCCATCAGGAACCAGAGCAAGTTAGACACGATCGATGGAAAGAGTTGGGATCTCAGCTACGGCAATTGGCAGTTTCCACCAAGGAGGCCCGAAGACAGCAGCTTAGAGAAATAATGCGCGGTCAGATTTCAATGGTTGAGCTGCTGGAGCGCCCGCCCCCGCCTGCAACGAGCCTCGCAAGGGGGCGCCAAGACGAGAAAGATGATTCCTTGGCTCTTGGCATTGTTCGCAAGACAGAATTGGATTCAGAACATCTCTTATGGGCACAAGCAGTGCTTCAAGCGGCAGAACGAGCTGGACGTCACGGCAAGAGAGCGCGGCAAACAGCGAAGCTCAGCATTCAGCGCTGGGCTAAGAAGGCCATGGGCGGCAACATGAAGGATGCGCATGCCTACTTCGAGCGGCCTGAGCCCCTCTCCCTCCCAGAGTTGCGCATCAACCAAGACTGCAAAGGTGCCATTGCAAATCTCCAGACGGCAGTGGAAACGCGACCTCGACAGTGGAAAGCGAGGTGGGCCCAGCATGGCGAGGAAGAGGAGCGCATTGCTCAGATGAAGAGGCCCCGCAAGCTGGCTGGGGAAGACCTTCCGTTTCGAGAGCCCATTTCGTTGGAGCAGTTAGAAGGAGCGCTACGGGCTACGCCGAACTCATCGGGCCAAGGCTCTGCTATGTGGAAGGTACGGCACCTGAAAGCCTTAGCCCCTCAGGCCAAGAGCGAGCTTGCGAACCTGCTGACGAACTGCGAGCAGACCTTAGCATGGCCACATCAGAGGTCGCACATCTGGTACGATTAAAATTGCGCAAAGGCGCCAACCTGAGGGCTGGAGACGAGCGGCCGAATGGCCTGATACTACTACTTGTGCGACTGCGGGGACGAGTACGCCAACCGACGACGGCAGAATGGAGCCGCAAGCAGACAGCGTTCTGGGATGCAGCTGTGACCAATTCGTCAGCTCTTCAAGCAGCGCTCTTCAGCATGGCCATGGACGGGAGCAGTGCTTGGGATGGAACGCCTGCGTGGGGTTCCATTTATCCAGATATCAAGGAGTTCTACGACCCGATCAGCATCCCACTATCGATCGGCCGAGCCCTGAAGCTCGATTTCCCTCCAGTGGAACTATACCTCAATTGCGTTATCTACCTTGCCCCACGAGCGATCAGAGCGGCTGGAGCCTTCGCTCCACCGATCATTCGAGGGAACAGCATAGTCCCAGGGTGTAGCAATGCGAATAATGGAGCCAGGGCTTTTTTGTTTGAGGTGTTGAATCGAGCTCACAGTC